ACAGAGGAGTTGGATTCTCTCCAGAAAAGATCCTTGAATTACAATGTGACTCTTCTTATATGAATTTATCATCCTTCTGAGTGCCTGTGAAAAGATCTTTGTAAAGTCCTGGCAAACTCTGCCTTGAATTTACCTGGTAGGATGCCTATTATCTCAGTAGCAGTGCAGCAAATGAGTCAGCAGAGAATGTGCCACTGGGTATGTTACTTAATCATTCACATCTGCTGCATTTGGGGACACATCTGAAATAGGCATCAGTGTTCCCAGCCGTGCCCCAGGGAGGCACTTACCCTATGCAAGTGTGACTCAGCAACATTTCTTAATTATCTGATGGTTGCAGGAGATTTCAAGATTGAAATTTTGTCAGCAGCATTTTATCCAAAGTGGTGAAAAGCTTCTAAAAAGCACTACTGGGACATATTCTTGCTAGCTTTATGGCACTGGGCCTTCATTACCATAAACAAACTCTGATACCTGAGTGTTGTCTTTTGGGGAATTTCCTATAAAGCCACAGGAAGGCTCATTGCATTCACTGACGCTTGTGTCCTTCCTTAAAAGCAACAGTACTTCCTACAGAGGCTGGACCTGAGTCAGAGTCTCCATTTCCCAAGGGATGGTGGCTTTTCCTCACTGCTCCTCACTGTCAGCAAAGCTGTGCTGCCTTGGCACAGGGGTTACAGGTTTGTTATCATCTCACGGGGTGAAGGGAGCTTGGCATCAGGTGTCTGCACCACTTAAGGGTGGGATAACCACAAAGACTTTGAAAATATGGGCATTGGTTGAGGAAAGAATCCCCAGAACAACAAACAATGCACTGATGGGTCATTAGCCATCACTGAAAAAGTGCAAGGAAGAGACCTGGGAAGAGAATGCTTCTGCTTTAGGAAAGGGAGCAGCAGCTGAGCAAGGAAAGAAACAGTGAGCATCAGGGTGAGGCACCTGCTCAGCCTGGAAAGTAACATTCCCACCAGGATCAGGCAATGTGTAGCCTGGAGTGGACGCCTAGGACTGGGAATTGCCTGG